CTTTTTGTTTAATGTCCTTGGTTATTTCTTTTTTATTTAGGTCATTAGTCTGTTCATCTTGTTTAACTCATTACCTTTTTGTAGGATATATTTCCAGAATTATTATATTAGAGAGAATTGTAGGTTAGGCTATACACTCACCCTCATGAGGTACACCTCCTAGTTTAAATGTTGTTGTTGTTGTTGTTGTTGTTGAGCTTGTTGTTGTAGTTGAACTTGAGGTTGTACCTAAGTTTGCTGCATTAGATAATAAGGTTGGGCTTGTTGTTCTTGTTGATTAATAGGTAGTGCTTGTGTCTGAGGTTGAATTATAGGTTGAGGTTAAAATTGCTATATAGGATTATTAGATACAAGTTGGATAAGAAGTTACAAGAGTTAGTTGACTTGTGAAGCTTGTTCTGGTTAAGCAGGTTGCTGATTATTTAGTACAGGATTTATAGGATTTACAAGGTTTATAGGGTTAGCAACAGGAGATACAATATTTTAATAGTTCATATTTTGAACTTGAGGACAGGTTCTACGAATATGTTCAGATTGTCTACATTGATAGCAAACAAAATTATTTGGTCTTTAAGGTCGAGGTTCAGATTGATAAGGTTGAGATTGATTAGCCTGAGGTTGTTAATAGTTATTATTATTTCTAAAATTACAGTGAGGTTTAGTATTCATTTGTTGTAACTGTTGGGTTAAGACTTGTAGATTTTAGGTAAGTTGATTCATTTGATTATTTTGTTAAGCAGGCACTATATATTTATTGAGGTAAGAGGTTACAGTATTAGTGTTCTAGTATGTTAGTTTATAATTTTTGGCACAATTGACTGCATCATTCCAGATAGTATTATTATGAAATTTGACATTAATATATAATTCAGATAAGAGTCCATTCACAAATTTACAGGCTTTGAAGTAAGCAGGGAATTGGAAAGGTCTATGCTTTACTCTCCTATATAATTTCAAGAGAGCAGTAGCATAATTATCAACAGATTTATCAGGGCATTGTTGGCGATATTCAAGTTCAGTAGTTTAAATTTCAACTAGGGTTTGAGAACAAAAGGCAGTAGAGAAGTTAATAACGAATTTAGTATTATGAGCAGAATTACTATTATCCTATTGTCCGATTCTATTAGAGCTAGTGTTGACCAACATTTGGTTTTCAGTTCACCAAGTAGCAGCAGCTCCTTTCAGATATGCAGATGCAACTTGGAGCTTGTTGTTATCAGTAATTCCATTGGTATTGCAAGCTTTATTAAATTCAGTAAGCCAAGTTATAGGATCCTGATTTCTACTATAAAAGTAGAGTAAATCAATCACTCGAGCCTCTCTTTTAGGAGGATTATTAATAGCATTAGTATTGTTAGTCAAGGCAGTTGTAGTATTAGACAGAGCAGTTATCAATTAGATAAGAGTATTAGTAAGTTCCTAAAAGTTTTGTTAGTTAGGTTAAGTCATATTCACTTGTTGCAGTTGATTAGAAGGTAATTGTTGTAGTTCTAGTTAATTCTAGACCAAAATTTTCTTTCTTATTAGATGAATTTGATTGTGTAGTTTGATATTCAGCTGTTTGAGAGTTAGCAGTTTCACTTATATTATAAGCTATGTCAAAAAGGTCATCATTAAAACTGTTTGTTAGAGTAAGAATAGTGTATATTTCCTGTCAGGCTTGATCATAAGACTTAGGTTCCTTGAAGTAACGGATACTTAGAAGGAGATATGTAATGAGAGTTCAGATATTTGGAGAGTTTAAATTATTAGTAGAGTTTAGAAGTAGTCCTGAGTATGTAATGTGTAGTATAGAGCAAGATATTCAATAGAAAACTAGGTTCAAAAGTTTTCAAATCAAATATAATCACCAAGATTTGTTGTAGCTTTAGGAGGATAACAGAGGTGACAAGAGATATCAGTATGTATTTCAGATATAATATTTAAGTTCCAGATATGTAGGCGATCGTGTTTTTGAGTTACAAAAATATAAGCCGAGAAAGTATTCATTCAATTATCCAATATTTTAACAATTTGTTTCTACTAGAAAGCACTAATTGTTATGAGCAGTTCTTTATTAATCTGCAAATTTTTAGGTAGCAAAAGGTTTTTCACAGTTATTATTCAAAGCACTAGTTTATTTATTGGTAAACAAACAAAACCAAAATCAATAAAATCAAAAATAAAATAAAAGAAAACATTATTTCTAATAACAAAAACTAAAGAAACCAAAAATAATAAAGAAAAATTATCATATATAATCAGACAACTCTCCCTGTAGATCATTTTGATCAAATTCAGTGCTAAAAGAAAAACCAAGTTAACTCGAAAATTTTACTAAGAAACAGTACTTAGAGCACTAAGCAAAAAGAAAGAGAACTTAAAAATACATATATTGTATTAAAAGAACAAAGGCAAGAAACAATCAGATAGACTACTGTAAAACTAGAAACAGAAAATTTTAACAGAAAAATTTTTTCTTATTATTTTTTGGGGATTTGGAATTACCCTACCCTGAATTGCAGATCAGTTATTATAACACAAACATGTGGAAAATGGTATAAACAAACAAATATAATTTGAAAATAAACTAACAAGACATTTTATGTGTCAACTAATAGAAAAAGAGTATACACAACAGAAACTGGAAAAAACACAGATAAACAGGAAAAAACTCAGGGAATTTGGTTAAAAAGACAAAGTTACTTCAAGAAAAAAGATCCAAATAGAAGAAACCTAGCTTATAAAATAAGTCAAAGAATAATATGTAGAATACAGAAAGCTCTAAGTATTTCATTAAAAAAATCACCAAAGAGTATGGTAAAGAAATCATTCAAGAAGGTAGTGTATCGGTATTAGGACTAGCAGACTATTTGAATGGAATGGTTGCAAAGGCAATGAATGTCAATAAGAATATTATTACTCTGGCAAGACAGTGGAGTGTTGTACTAGAAAGAGCTGCTTTCACAGAAGGAATAGTCAAAATTAAAGAAGTCCTAGGAAGAGAGCAAGAATCAGCAAGTACGCAAGTAGGAAAACTTAATGAAACAATACAAGAAATAGAAATAGAAACTGAAGAGATACTAATCATAGAAGCAGATAGAGATAAAAAAGTAGAATCATATGAAAATATTAAACAGATTACTCAACACCAAGAAGAGGAAAATAGTAACGAAAGGGTAGTAGAAAGAACTAAAGCATCAGAAAGTATAGAAGATATCTAACTAGTAGAAAACAGCATAGAAATACACCTATATAAAAATGAAATAGAAGATAGATTAGAGCAACTAGTAGAGATAGGAAAAGCAAAACACAGCAGTATATCTCTAGATTGCAGTTTATGGGCACCTAATCCAGAAGCATGTAGAAACAAAGGAAAGGTCAAAACTAAGGTAGCAGCAGTTAAGATTCTTGGAGACAATGCAGAACAAAGAAAAAAATCAATAAGATGGTCTCTAAGAGGAAACAAGCATATTAAAGCAATTCAAGAAAAATTCGTAAACAGAAACCAATGGTGTATTATTTACTTCAACTGTAAAAAAGGTTATGAAGAAGCTAAGTCAAGACTAGAAAAAAAGAAGAACAAATTCGATCAGATAAATCTAATACTTAAGGAAAAGGTCAAAAAAGAGAACTCAAAGAAAGAAAAAGCTGTACAAAGCAAAGTAAAAGAAAAAAAAGAAAGAGAGACGCAAGCAAAGAAAGAACTTGCAGAAATACAAAGGAAAAGATCCACTATATATAACCAAACTGAAAGAGGGGAGTGTTCAATAAGTAGTACAAGCAAAAAGATAATAGAAATAGCACTCAACCAAACAGAAGAAGAAAAAGTATTAGTCACAAAAAACAAAGGGAAAAAGAGAATGTACAAGCAAGAAACTCTCCCAACTAGCAATGAAGTCCAAGGCAGAACAAACAACATAACTAAAGAAAGAGAACTACATCTAAGCAAAGAAAAGACTATTATCATATGGGATATACCCTATCATATAACAAGATTACAAGTCTTCTTTGCGATTAAACACTTGGGTCATGTCAAAAACATTAAAATGATAAGAGAAAAATATGGAAAAACAAGAGCAGAAGTATCTTTTGAAAAAGGAAGTAGCTTTGTATAAGGGATTGAAGCTTAGATCATCTCTCTTACAAATAAGCTCTTAGTATGCATAACCCTAGGGTCAAACAGAAAAGAGATACTTGAAAATAGAAAATAGTTTATTACAAGGTTATATAATATACCACAAAATATAAATGAGATATTACTATTCAGACAACTAAAACATACTGATGCAAGTGCAGTACATATTTTCAAGAACTCAAACAGAAATAACAAAGGCTATGCACTAGTATCTTTCAGAAATCAAAGAGAAATAGTTTAAGCACAAAAGTATTCTATTAAATATTATGATACTAGGCTTTTTTGGGAGATGCCTGAAGCAGAACTAATAGAAGAATACTTTAATGAAGAAAGACATAAACAAGAACCTCATAACAATGAACCAAGTGCAAGAAGCTCTAAAAGATATGAAGTATCTTCTGACAAGCAAACCTTACCTTTCAAAATTGAAAAGAAAACCTCAGAGAAGAAAAACAAACTAGAAAATCAAGTATTTAGAAGGACAGAAAAGCGAGACAAAACTCATACAGAGAATAGAAGAGAAGAACGTTACAAAGAAAACTTGTATAAAGAATCTTTCAATGACATGGCTCAATGCATTCAGGCTTTGGAGAGAAAACTAAGTAGCTTTGAAGATAATTAGAGCCTGAAGGCTCCAAATCACTCCTGAAAGTTGTCAAAGTTGAATGAACAAAAGCTCTAGTCGATCAAGAAGAAAAACTTGAAAGACAACTTAGAGCAGAGACAACTTCAAACAAAAACAAGTCAAAATACAGAGAAAGCACTGAGAGAAGAGAGGGAAGCAGAAGGGTATATGATGTTAACAGAGATAGCAAAGTAAAACAGTAAGTATAAAAATAGATGCACATAATATTAACAGAATTAAAGGAGATAATACAAAGGTAGAACTGCTAGCAGAGTATGGTAAGTCAGAAGGATACAATATAATTGGAATAGTAGAAACCAATATAGGTGAACAAGAAGGCAAATGGATAAATACAAAAGAATACAGGTACTCAAGCTTTTGGTTAGAAACAGAGAAAGGAAAATATAAAGGGTCAGGAATCAGGCTACTAGTGAAATAGTTAAAAAATACTGACTATATAGAAACCTTCCACTTTTGTAACCTAGAGCTAATTAAATATTCATGATCAAATAGTAACATATTAACTAGAATAGATCATATTTAGACAATGCAGGATATGAGGAACATCATCTTAGATAGCAATATAGAGCAGATGGAAACAGTAACAGATAGTGATCATGGAATAGTCTGGTTACAATTAGATAGTGCAAGTATCTTAGAAAAGAACAAGCAGAGAAACAAAAGAAGACAAAAAGAAACAAGAAGACTATATCAGTACTAAAAGGCTATAGAAGAAGATTAGAATAGTTATAGCCAAGAAGTAGAAAAAATTATTCGTAATGCAGGGAAGAGAAAAAAAAGAAGAGAAGAAAACCAAGAAGAAATAGAATCTGAAACAGATATTGACGAAGAATGGGAGCTAATAGCCAAGGCAATACAAGCAGTAGTAAACAAGTATATTCCTTCAACAAAAACACAAAACTCAAAAAGTCAAATCAGGAAAGAAGCTACGAAATTACTAATATATAGCAAAGCTAAGGTCTTAGGAAGGATATTCAGAAAAGGGTCCAAGGACATAGGACAAAGTATAGATGAGCTTGAGAAGGCAATTCTAAATGTACGAATAGAGTATCTCAACACAGAATACAAGACAAACATCACACTCTTACTAGAATTCTGGAACAAAGAATACTGTATTGAAATTAAAGAGTAGTGGAACGTATTAAAAGAAAAAGCTCAGAAAGAAATGCAAGCTGCAAAAGAAAAAGAAATAAAAGAAAAAATAGAAGAAAGATTTGCACTAATGTCTAAAAGCCAAAAGCAAATATTAAACAAGTTGCTCGAACGTCTTCACAACAAGATTATAGTTAATAGAGTATTAGTCTAAAGTGAAAATAAGTTTGAAAACAAAATTTTAATTACGGAGAGTAATGATATCAGAAAAGAAGTAGAAAGACATTTTAAGGAACAATTCAGAAAATGAAATCACAATTTGAGCAAATAGATCAAGAATAGACTAATATATATGAAGAACAAAAAAGAATTAAAGAAGCCTGATACATAGAAGTCATGTGCAAAATAACAGAAGAAGAATAGTCAGAAGCTACAAGTATGCTAAAAGAAG